GGTCTAAGCGGGATAATAAGGTGTAGACGTCGGTGCTCAAGGTAGCAAGGTTAGAGGAGCAGATCCAAGATCTAGAGGCAAAGTTGTCCGGATTAAATGAACAGGTTGTTGCTTTGAAGGCTGAGGAAGTGCGATGGCAGTCACAGCCATCTACATCTCATACTTCTATCGATCCCGTCATTTTGCGGGAGTTGTATGCAATGTGGGTTCATGCCGAGGCTCAGCTTGATGTGTACAAGTCCCTGAAGGCCGACGGGAAGGTTTCCGAGGCAGTGCTTGAGGGTGTCCATGTTAAAGCACGTGCGGCCCGTGAGGCCTATGGTTATGATCCTGGTACGCCTGGCTGGGACGATGTTGATGATGATGGGGACAGGCTCGCCTCTAATTCTTGGTATAATGATGAGTAATCCAAAGGGGATGACGCGGCGTAGAGACGTTGCACTTACTATTGTTTTTCCTTGCTATTTTTGTGAGGGCATCTTCGGGCCTTTTGTAAAATGTTTTTTAATACAACAGTTGTAATGTAATGATTAACTTTTGTTGTGTATCTCCAAATTGTCATTATTGTTTGCTATGCGGTGAATTCCTTGGATTTTTGGCCTCTTGTGTGTAATATATTGGCGTAGTAGATCGTATATATTAAAGTAACTCGAGCAAGGTCTAGTGTAAAGTAATTTGAGTGAGGTCGAATGCTAAGTAATTCGAGGGAGGTCGAATGTTAAGTAATTCGAGGGAGGTCGATTGTTAAGTAATTCAAGCGAGGTCTAATGTTAATTAATTCGAGCGAGGTCGAATGTTAAGTAACTCGAGCGAGGTCGAATGTTAAGTAACTTGAGCGAGGTCAAATGTTAAGTAACTCGAGCGAGGTCGAATGTTAAGTAACTCGAGCGAGGTCAAATGTTAAGTAACTCGAGCGAGGGCGAATGTTAAGTAATTCGAGCGAGGTTGAATGTTAAGTTATTCAAGCGAGGTCGAATGCGGGATGCGAAAAAGAAACTTGATGGAGAGTAAATTTTTTGCTTTATTTCATTCATTGGGAATATCTTGGTGGAGAGAACAAAATGTTGCTTTATTTCATTCACTGGAGAATGCTATACATGTCTGTTTCATACATATATTGGAGAAGTTTCCATGTATCTAGTCCCTTCATCGCTCAGCCTGCGGAAGCACTCGGTAGGTGGGGTGATGAATCATACTTGAACTTCGAGACGTTCCTTTCATCGCCTCATTACAAACCTCCCCGAGAAAACCCAATTGGGACAAAACTCGGATAAGGGAAAAAGAGTACAACTTGAGGGGTGTCCTTTTTCAGAAGTTGAAGTATTTGAGGTGGGCGACATTCCAATTGTTTTGTTATAGTTTTCCTTCCATTGTTTCTAGTTGGAATGCTCCTTTGCTTGCTGTTGTCATGATTTTGTATGGATCGTCCCAATTGGTTCCCAGTTTTCCTTCTTTCGGGTCTTTGCTTGCTTGTGTTTTGGCCTTGCGAACATAGTCTCCGACTTTGAGTGGTCGTATATTGGTTTTTCTGTTGTAGTACTTTTCTGCTTGTTGTTTTTGGGCTACCATTCTTACGTAAGTCATGTCTCTTCGTTCTTCTACCTCGTAGAGGTATTGTTTCCTCTTCTCATCATTGTTTTGTATGCTTTTATTGGAGTATCTCAGTCTAGGCTCCCCAACCTCGACGGGTATCATGGCGTTAGTCCCGTAGACCAATGAATATGGCATTTCGCCTATGCTCTTTTTTGGCGTGGTGCAGTAGGCCCATAGTACCTCTGGTAGCAATTATGGCCATAACCCTTTGGCATCCTCGAACTTTTTCTTGTAGATGTTTAATATTATTTTGTTGGAGGATTTGTCTTGATCGTTACCGTCGGGGTGACATGGCATGGAGAGTATTCGATTGATGTGCTATTTTTCGAAGAACTTGGTGGTCTCTTTCCTGGTGAATTGGGACCCACCATCACAACTAATTTCTTTAGGGATGCCGTAACGGCATACAATGTTCCTCCATATGAATGTGATGACTTCTTGTTCACGTATTTGGGTGAACACACCTGGTTCCACCCATTTGGAAAACTAGTAAGTTAAAACTAAAAGAAACGTATCTTACCTCACCCCGCTAGGAGGGGTTTGACGATGTCCATTCCCCATTTGATGAGTGGCCATGGCGAAGTGACAGAGTGGAGGTGTTCACCTGCTTAATCTATCATAGGTGCATACTTTTGGCACTGCTCGCACCTCTTGATGTAATCTACAGCTTCTTTCTTCACAGTGGTCCAGTAATATCCCGCCCGAATGAGGCATCTAACGAGGGATCAGTTGCTTGTATGGGCACCATAGTGGCCTTCGTGTACTTCTTCGAGCACGCGCCTTGTTTGATTCGGCCCTAAGCATTTCACCAAGGGGCCCCCAAATGTTCTCTTGGATAGGTCGTGATTTATGATGTTGTATCTGGCCGCCTGCAGTCGAAGCTTTTTGGCTTCCTTTTTGTCTTGTGTGAGTACTCCCTCCTGCAAGTATGCCATGATGCGGTTCCGCCAGTCCCATGTCAAATTTATAGAGTGTACCTCAAGTTGGTCTATTGACGAGTGGATGAGGGTGACCATGTTTTCTTTAGTGATGTTTTTTGTGGCTGCTGCTAGTTTGTCGAGGCCATCTGTCTCGATGTTTTATGCTCGAGGTATTTGGTCGAGTCGACATTCATCGAATTATGTCAGTAATTTACGAATTTCCTCCTGGTACTTTTATAACCTTCGCTCTTTGATTTGGAAGGTCCCTGTGACTTGGTTGATGACGAATTGTCAGTCGCATCTGAGGATGACTCGTCGTGCTTTTTATTTGAGAGCTAGCTTTAGTCCTGCAATTATAGCCTCATACTCGGCCTTATTGTTAGTCATATCGGGGCACCGTATGGATTGGCAGATAACTTCGCCTGTTAGGGCCTCGAGTAAGAGTCCTAGTCCAGATCCTGACGCGTTGGATATGCCATCGGTATATAGGACCCATAGGTCGGGTTGCCCACGAGGGGTACGAGAGGCTTCCTGCTCGACCTCGAGCATTATTTTGGCACTGAAATTGGCGATGAAGTCGGCGAGTACCTGCGATTTTATCGCTGTTCGCGGCTGATATGTTATTCGTGCTCTCTTAATTCTATGGCCCACTTGGCCAGTCTTTCTAACAATTCGTATTTATGTAGGATGCTCCGCAGGGGGAAGGTCGTTATCACCGATATGGGATGTCACTGAAATAGGCTCCAAGCTTTCGTGAAGCTATAACCAATGATAAGGCCAATTTTTCGAGGTGGGGGTACCTCATTTCGGTGTCGACCAGGGCTTTGCGAATATAAAAAATTGGAGATTGCATACCTTTGTTTTTGCAGACCAACACTGAGCTTACCGTGACTTCTGAGACACCCTAATATATTAGGAGGCGATCACCAGGTTTTGCTTTGGCAGGCAGTGGGGGCGAGGACAAGTATGCCTTAAGTTCCCTTAGGGTATCGATGCATTCTAAATTCCACTGGAGCTTGTTGTCTTTTTTCAGCATTTTTAAAAATTTGTGCCATCTGTCAGATGATCATGAGAAGAATCTAGATAGGGTGGCTATACAGCCAGTTAGTTTTGCACCTGTTTCTTGCTGGTTAGCACTTCAGGTATCCCTTCAATGGCTTTGATTTGATGTAGATTGACTTCAATGTCTCTTTGTGATACTAAGAAACCGAGAAATTTGCTCGAGGTTACGCCAAAGGCACATTTTTCGGGGTTCAATTTCATGTCGTACTACCTTAATATACCGAAGGCCTCTTTCAAGTGGTCGATGTGTTCTTCTTTCCTTTTTGATTTGACCAACATGTCATGGATGTAAACTTCCATTATTTTGCCGAGTTGATCCTTGAACATCTTGGTGACCAAACTTTGGTACGTTGCCCCTGCGTTCTTCAACCCGAATGACATGACTCTGTAACAGTACGTTCCTTGATGGGTGATGAAAGTAGTTTTCTCCTGGTCCTCCTCCTCCATGAGGATTGGGTTGTAACCTGAGAAGGCATCTAAAAAGCTTAATAATTCGTGCCATGTTGTTGCGTCGATGTGAGGCAAGGGAAATGAGTCTTTTGGGCATGCCTTGTTTAGATCTGTGAAATCTACGCACATCTGCCATTTCCCATTTCTCTTTTTTACCATGACCACATTGGTGACCCATTTGGGGTATTTTAATTCCTGGATGGAATCGTTGGAGAGCAGCTTATCCACTTCATCACTGACGGCCTTGTTAATTGCGACGTTGAATTTTCTTCTTATTTGCCGTGCTGGTGGGCAGAGTGGGTCGACATTCAACTTGTGTATGGCGATGTCTTTCGGGATGCCTGGCGTATCTGCATGGGAGAAGGCGAACAAATCGGCATTGTCAATTAAAAACTTGTGAAATTTAGCTGGTTCTGAGAGTTTATGTCTGATGTAAGCCTTTTTGTTGCTATCACTGCTATTCAGTTGGACGGGATCGAGGTCTTCTACTGTTGACTCACCGGCTTCCATGATGTCGGGGTCCCTGATGACGTCTATTTGTACGTCAAGTCCGGTCCCCGACTTTGGTAATAGCTATGCGTCTGAGTCTATTCCCTTTAGTTGTTGGGTGTATGTGCCATCCTAGGCAATACGATAGCATTCTTGGGTGGTACGTTATTCGCCTCGGATGTTGAATATCCCCATAGAGTAGGGAACGTGATTACTTGATATAGGCTTGACGGGATGGCTCTCATGGCGTGTATCCATGGCCGCCCTATGATAGCGTTGTAAGCTGTGTCTTGGTTCATGACATGGAATGTTGTTTCTAGGGTGATGCCCCCGGCTAGAATGGGTAGTGTTATTTCCCAGAGGCTCGCTCAACTGCTTTGTTAAAACATGTTAGTGTTATGCAACGCGGTACTATCTTGTCTTCCAGTCTTATTTGTGTGAGGACTCGAGCGTGGCTAATACACGCGTCGCTTCCATCGTCTAACATTATTCTTTCACGCCATAATTTGAAATACGTAAAGTAATAACAAGACTATCGAAATGAGGGAATGTCAAACAGTCGGTATCTGACTTATTGATGATGATACTGTCTCTGAGGTCGTCGTACCGTTCGTGAGTGATCGACTGCTTCAGTTTGTGTGTAGTGGTGAACTTCACATGGTTGATCGTTGTTTCATTGCCTCCGCTGATGATCATTTGGATAGTGTGGGTGGGGGAGGGTGGCTTTGGAGGCCCCTTGTATTGTTCACGTCCGCAGCTGAAGTTGGCCCGTCCACGGTCGCTCATCGGTTCACTCAGGTGCCCTTGGTTCAGCTTGTTTACTACCTCTTGCCATAGAGCTATGCAGTCCTCAGTTTTGTGTCCCCACTCCTGGTGAAATTCACAAAGGACATTCGACTTTCGGGTATTTGGGTCGGACTTCATCTTTTGTGGCCATTTCACCTTTGTGCCAAGCTTTTCTAGTGCGTACACTATTTCTGAAAGGGAAACACAAAAGTTGTGAGCAGATAAGAGTGGATGCATACCTTTTTTGTTTCGTTGAGTCCCTGTATATGGCCTAGACGACCCTTCCGCGTGTCGAGGAGACGGTGGGACGGTTGTTCTGACGTAGGGTTGATGTCTTTCTCGATTGAGATGGGGGCCTGACTGATCTCTTCGACCATCATTACGGGGATCTTTTCTCGACTCAGTTTGAACTGATGTCAACCATTGGGTCGGACCGTTAAGGTCATCCTCATCGACTCTTACCTCGGCGCAGTAGGCATTGTGGATTTCTTCCCAAGTGGTGGGAGGATATTTCATGAGCCTGCTTAATAACTTTCTCGTTGCTCTCGACCTGTTCTTGTTCAACCCGTTGTGAAAAGCTTCCACCGCCATCTTTTTTGATACATTTGGTAAGCTCATTCTCACCCTGTTAAACCGGGCGAGGAAGTTCCTGAGTCCCTCGCCAGGAGATTGCCTAACGGCGAATATATCATTCACCCTGGCCTCCACCTTTTTATCCCCTCCATGGGCGGTGACGAAATTGTCAGCCATTTCCTTAAATGTTACTATTGACCACGCCGATAGTTTTGAATACTATGTTAAGGCTCCCCGTTAAGGTTTCGCCGAACGTTTTCAGTAACAGTGATGGTACTTGCTCCTTCGAAAGGTCGTTGCCCTTCATCGCTATGATGTAATGGATAATATCATCTTCGGAGTTTGTAGTACCATTATATATCTTCAGGTACGGTGGCATTTTGAAGGTTTTGGGGATGGTTTGTAGAGCCGCTTTCTTGCAATATGGTTGTTCGATCAACAGACCAACGTTTCATTTTGGTAGAAACTTTGGAGCGTCCGGTATCTTATCGACCCTTTCTTGATGTTCCCTCATCTGGTCGAGGAGAGCCTTGTTTTAGTTTTTCATTTCTTCCATATTCTTTAGAATGGTTGCAAGTGCATCATTACCTTCATCAATAGTGGTGTAAGTGTTACCTGTTTGAGGGACGGGATGCTCGCTAGTGATCGTTGTGATATCTACTTGCGTAGTGTTTCTGCTCTCCCTTTGAACGGGTTTGTCAAGTATGTTGTTTAGAGTGCTTGTCAGCCACTCATCCAATAATTTTTTCAGTGATGGTGGTGCTTCCTCAGCTGTAGACGTGGAGGCTCCCATTTTGCGTGAGGCTGTTACGCTTTCATGAGGGGGAGGTGAATCACTCTGCCAGGGCGTAGTGCTTGCCGTCACGTTCTCATTATCCTCTCTGCCATCTTCGTTGATGGTGTTCAAAATATTGGTAGTGACACCTACTATTGCTTCCAGTCTTGCATCTCCTTTTCCTGCCATCGTTAGTTTGTGCAAACAAAGAAAAGATGGCTTCTTCTTTTTTTGATCTAAAAGGAACTAAAATTTCAACTAAAACCTCCCCACAGACGACGCCAAATTGTATGAGCAAATAAGTGCTAAACCAATTAATGATGAATTAAAGAGCAAATCTTAGTTGAACTTAATAAATTCTAGATCGTATGAAATAGAGGACTTGTGAAACGAGTAGTGCTCAAGAGCATTAAATAGCGGATTTAATATACTATGAATGACAATAAATATGATAGCATAAATATATAAATAATGGCAATGAATGTAATGAGAAAGGATCTACCACCAAATTATTATATGATTGGGATGTTCCTTTTCTCTGTCTGCGACGTGGAAAAGTGAGATGTCAGGATGGTATGGAATCTTTGGATTTATGGATAAAGTTTGAACAACGTGTACTTCAACAATATTATCTACGAAACAAGACAACTTTTGGATATTCTCTTTTGTCAACCTTTACAATGTGTTTTTTCTCCAAAAGTTAGAAGATCCCCTCTTTGTTCCCTATCTCTTCCTATTTATAGGGGATATACCCCAAAAATCCTAAAACGTACAACATAAAGAATATCCAAAAGAATATTCTTTATGTCCACTTTTGAACCTATAATACTGTTATATTCTCATCTCGGCTGCCCATTTTTGGCACCAGCCTTTGTGAGAATGACCTTCAGTCATTATATCATGGTCGACCTCGTCCTTTGTCTTACTTATCCATTACCGCTGAGTTACCAAATTTGGACCTATAGAGAAGTGACATCTGGAAAATTACTACGCTATATATTAAGCTCTTAACATAATAGATAAACAACTATTATTGGGATAATTAAGCTTTTAACATAGTATATAAACAGCTAGCTACTATATATTATCCGGTTTGTGGTTGTCGTTTTTGGAGGAGTATTGCAGGGATGTAACATGCCTAATTTTTTTTCCTTTTTAAAATATGCAACTTGTATGCGTTAAGAGTATCTAGAGGAATGTTATAAATCCAGGGTTCCTTTTTATATAATGCTAAGTGCCTTTATCTTGCTACTGTTTATTTCAAACGCAAAACACTAGCTAATAGGAGTCACACTAATTAATGATGCCTTGTGACAGTCTTGCACCAAAAGAACAAGCAATCAAGCTATCCTCCAATAAAATTGGAACAAGCTATGAAACAGGTCTCACACTAATTAATGACTCCTCCCACAATGTTACAGGTTCAATTCATTTATTTTAAATTTCGTCCATTCAACATCAAGTTACTTGTCTCGGTCTTGCTCACGATAGGGGTTGTAGGGACTTAAGTTTTATTTTTAGGGACCAATTAGCAACAGTTTAGGCTCGCTCCATTGCCTGGTCAAGTTCGGGTGACTCCTGCCAAAAGATGGCGGGTTACGAATTAGATTAGCTACTGTCAAAAAGGTCAAGAACGAGTTTTCGCTTTATCTAAAAAAAAAATTCTTTCTTTCTCTCTTCCTGATTAGCGGATTTTGAGTGATCAGATGAAGCCACCCTTCTTGTGGGCACGGTTTTATTTTTAGGGTCCAATTATCAACAGTAAAAGCACATTTAAAATATGAGACAACAGTAAATTCATGTCCTCATTTAGACATGAACTTCAGTTATCCCCATCTTTCAATTATGAGTCAATTGCTCGTTCTCCTTTCTTTGATCGTTGAAGGTTTTTGACAAGAATAATGCAAAATGCAACTATTAGTTATTTACAAAATTGCTTGATTTTTTTCTAATTCCGCATTTAAATTAAAGTATAGTACGTAGGGCCTAGGGGTGGCAAACGGACGGCGCGGTTCAGATATGCGGGGTCGAAAATGGGTAATATAAAACGGATAAATTATCCGGCCCGGCCCATATTTAATACAGATAAAAAAGGGATTAACTGGCAGATAATATGGATATCTATATTATCCATGTCTTCTTGAATATGATCATTTTTGGGAGAATTGCTAGTCTCCCAAACTTGAGGAAACCCCAATTTGAGGCTTTACAAATGTAAAAGTAATCCATTAGTTAACTATTGGTTATCCATTTTTTAAGTGAATAATATGGTTCTTATCCATATATGACCCGTTTTTAAGAAGTTCATTATTCAACTCTTTTTTAACGGATAATATAGGTGGATAACTGTATGCAGTAAAAATCAGTGGTCCAATTTTATGATCATTAAAGCGCCTCGTAAAGACCGCCCTCAGAAGGCTCGAAGCTCAGCTCGGGGTTTCGACCCCGAGGGTCCTCAATGATCGATCTCGGGGCAGCGCAAACCAGCGGTAATGGTGGATCGATGTGAAGTTCCCAAGGGACGAGACTAGAGCTGACAAAGTCTATTAGGCTAGTTCAAACCCATATCATGGCATTAATGATTGTACCAGCCCTACATCTTTGTAATAAATGCATTTGTACTATGTTGGGATTCTCCCTCACATATAAAGAGGATCCTTGTCATTTTATAAGAGACAATACATTACACACTACATCGAATACAAGAACATTCTCTGCTCTCTAACTCAAACATACTCTATGTTTGATCATATTGCTTACATTTATTGTCTTGCTCATACTTGTTACATTTCATTAATTGTTCTTCATTTATTTCTCATTATTGGTCATAAAGAGCCGCCACCAAATTTATCAAAACTGTTAATCCTCCATCGACTGCCCTTAGTTGGGCATCCGACTCGACCTCGAGGCCCTGTATACACAAGCTCGAGGCCCCGATTTTCAGCCATTCGGTTTGATTATTACACTGTCTACAAGCTATTATCTTATTTTATAAACTTTCACTTAGCATCTATTGCCTAACAACTAGCATAAAAACAGATTACGTATTTTTAGAACCATAAAATCAAAACTAATTGTAATTACCATTTTCACGGTAAACAATTTGGCGCCCACCGTGAGGCTAAAAATAATAGAGATTGTTTTCTTGTTGGTCCAAACACATAACGCAACTTATCTTTCACGCTTTTTCTTGTCCAAGAATCTTTGATTTCAGGTAAAAATGTCTAACTCAGTGAATGCATATGAAATCAATGGTCTTGAGGACCATGGAGAGAATGGTGTAGTTGTTCCAGGTATTGGCGCACCACCGCTAAACCCTGAGGGCGCGGCAGAGCCAATTCCCATGGATGTGGTCTCACGCGATGCCCAAAACGTCGATATAAGCTCCCACACTAACAGGAGATATGCCAAGGAGACCAGCAAGAAGCTTAGAAAACCCCATGTCACGCCCCAAAACTAAGGAGCGCGACCAGCGCTCAATCGAGTGAACCCAACTGAGCAAGCCTTTTTAGACACCTTCTACCCAACTCCCTATGATCAAGAAAGCCATAATTCCATTTAATTAAACAGTAGGAAAGATCGTACATACAACATTGGTAGTTCATTTTATATTACAACCCTTAAACCATAGTTATGTTCCCAAAATTCATAGAGTTATAGTTTTAGAAGTACAAGAGTTTAGAATTACAACATAGACTAGAGACACATCCAATGCCCGTACATAACCCACACAACGTCTACGGAGCCATTAAAGATACAAAAGATAGTTATGATAATGCCGGCAATAAGGCTCCAACTATACCTCAAAATACAAAGTACATGATAAACGAATGATACAGGACCCCTAAAAGAAATGGGGCTTACCAAATCAGCTGAAGAGAAGATGCACCACTATCTGCGATCAACACTGTCTGCTACGGAACAACCTACATCCATTTCAAAGATGTAGCGCCCCCGGCAAAAGAGACGTTAGTACTGTGGAATAGTACTAGTATGTATAACTAAACATCATCTCATTAGAAAGAACAACCATACAAGAATAAAGAAATCCTAAGGATCAACAAAAGCTTTAAATAATTACCCAATCATCAAATAAGGGATCACATAGCTTTCACATAATTTCCATAGCTTTAGTTTAGGACATTTAATATTTTTACATCATCATTCACAATACCACCGCTTTCTTGCGCGGAGTCCGATCACGACCCGGTCGGCTAGGTTGCCTCATCTAAGACATGTACCTCAATCACAATTTCATTCTCACTTTCCGGTTTCAATATCAGCAAAATACCACCATGTGTGCGGCATGGCATCCGATCACGGCCCGATCGGCTAGGCTATCTTGCCAAGACCTTTTTCCTTTTCCATCAATCATCTCTTTTCTATCTTTATTTCACATATA